ATGTCGGGGGCAATCACACAGGCCCCTCGGTCTCCATCCCTCCGGCATCTGTATTTGATGCCAGGGGCTCTCACACAGGCCCACCTGGCCTTGCACCCCTCCGTCACCTTTATTTGATAACGGGGGGTCCTTACAAGCTCCTCAGCCTTTTCATGCAGGATCTAAGGCTGGTCTTCGATATCCCCTCAGCAGACGGACACAACCACCGCTCAAAAATCTAGGCCGAAGGGTGCATTCCTTTTGCTTCATTCTGGGGGCATCCGGTGTACTCTTTTTCCCTCATTAGGATTTTTTTTTTCCACAGGGTTTTTTCCTAATGAGGTTTTTAACGAGGCATCTCCCCATTGTGGAACAAAAGGTGTCACCCCTCGGCGGCTCCTGCTGAAGACATGCATCACTCTACTCCTGTTTCCCTCGAGAAACTTTCGGCAAAAGGAGTGGGGGACTAGGGGACTCCCCTCGGCAAAACACGCAAATGTTAAAAATTTTCTATTTTTCAGCTACAACAAGCTGAGGCAAGATCACAACGGCAATCTACTCCCCTCGACATGATGCTTTCGGCTTACAGAATGCCTCCGGCCACACAATGCCTTCGGCCACATGATGCCTCCGGCCACACAATGCCTTCGTCCACATGATGCCTTCAACCACATGATGCCTCCGGCCACATGATGCCTTCGGCCACACAAAGCCTTCAGTCAACAAATGCCCTCGGCAAAGCACACAAATGCAGATCTCTCGTTACTTTACAAACTACAACAAAGAAACACATACGAGCAACACACTTACACTCCCTTCAGGAAGCTCTCAGCCCTCGACATATGGGGGAATTGAGAAAATGAGGCACCCAACAGAACAGGGAAGCCTTCGGGGAAATCACCACAGCTACTCCTTTTCCCTCAAGTACCTTTCGGCAAAAGGAGTGGGGGACTCCTGATGGAGTATATGGCCCAGGGACCCCCAGCCCACATACATCCTCTACTACAATCAGGCCCAACAAGCCCAAACGGGCCAAGCCCGGAAAAATGGAGCTCTAAGCAGCCCACAATACGCGAAGGGGTGCCTTCGGCCCCATGGCCGAAGGCTACCAGTGACGGAATCGAGCTCAGAAACATCATAGGAGGACAAGACTTGAAAACCAAGCCTTCGGCACCTGCAGCCCTCGGCAGGTAGGAGCCCTCGGTTAGAAGAGGCATCACAGGAGATCAAGGCTTGAAAAGCAAGCCTTCGGCACCTACAGCCCTCGGCAGGTAGGAGCCCTCGATTAGAAGAGGCGTCACAGGAGATCAAGGCTTGAAAACCAAGCCTTCGGCACCTGCAGCCCTCGGCAGGTAGGAGCCCTCGGTTAGAAGAGCCTTCAGCCCAGCACCCTTCAGCCGAAGGCATCCACCTCGACAGAATATCCTCTTCACATGCGCCTGGATCACCGTACCAAGTACAAACGTCACATCCAACCACCGCATTTAATGCGGCCACATGCGAGTGCCAGTGCCACCCCGGTTGAGGTGACCCCTCGACCACCAGAAAACTGACACGTGTCCTTACCTGGCATTTATTACTACTATAAATAGCACCCCTTTCCCCCATTGTAAACCACGCTGAATACATATCAAATATACACTCTCTCTCTCTTACTTATTTGCTCTGACTTCTCTCTAGTTATTCTCCGCAATAACCCCTCGGATAAGCTACCCCCCGGGTACACTATCCATCAAACTAGCATTGAAATATTAGTTGGAAATGTTAGTTGAGAAATGGATGAATTAGATCCTAAGAATTTGAATTATAAAGAATCGGTGATTATGAGCCGGGCTCGAGACCGATGTAGATAACAGTGATTATGGGCTGGGCTCTAGACCGTAGTAGATGACGGTGATTATGAGCTGGGCTCTAGACCGTGGTAGATGACGGTGATTATGAGCGGGGCTCTAGACCGTAGTAGATAACGGTGATTATGAGCTGGGCTCTAGACCGTAGTAAATAATGATGAATTGATACTAAATGAACGGATTAACTATAATGTAATAATGCTCTAGATTGAGGGCCTCAGAGATTTAAACTTCGATTGTACTTAGTATAGTTGTCATTGTACTTGTCAAATGCTTCCAAGTACTGACCTCCCCTTCACGGGGGAGGCCACCTCACATTTTCAGGTAGAACTTGAAGGTTGCTACTACCAGCCGCTGTTTCGGGAAGTTTCTGAGAAGAAGACTTGGTTCGTGCTTCTTCCGTTCTTGTTTTGAAAACAATATGAATAATGCTCATGGATATTATTTTGTGAATATACATTTCGGGGGTTTGTATACCCATGTTTGCCAAGTGTGGCTTGAACACTTGTAATGTTGTTTCCGCTGTTTTAAAGAATAATTCACATTATGTTTGTTTATGGATGTGCTACGTGTGAATGATATTCCAGACGCCTTGTATAGTATGAATGTGTTGAACTGCGGTTGACAAATCGTACTGTACGGCGGATTGTTGACGTGTCTGGTAGGTCCGGGGCGTGACAATTTAAATGGTATCAGAGCCAGTCCGTAAACTTCATAATGAAGCTCCAAAATTCCTTTTCGAAAACGAATTTGAAAACCATGAGCATAAAAAAAAATTGTACTTATAGACCTTTTGGTACTTGAGTTGCAAAGTCTATAACTGTTAAGATGGTACCCTTAACAATTGGTACGACGGTGATTTGAGCCAAATGATGTTTTTAAGTACCCGTCCGTCATTTGACATTCGATACGAGTCTAATGACTCATTCTAATTTCTTTCAGAAATGGAACCAGTTGGAAGGATCACTAGAAAGAACCCGTTGGGCCGTGCACCGGGTGGGTCCGAGCGCGGTAGCCGGGGGTCCTCTAGGGGATCAAGAGGAAGGGGCCGTGGAGGCCAACGTCAAACCGTGAGCGATGGCCACGTCGATACCGAAAGTGAGACCTATTGGTCCTATGAGGACTCAACCTACTAGCCGGGGACTGAGCCAGTTGAGACCCCTTACGAAGGGAATGATGATGATGTGAGTGATGAGGAGGAAAGTGGCTCCTTGGCCAGGATCGAAGCGCTGCTCCAACAGTATCATCGGGAGCGCGAAGAAAGGAGGGCACGCCGAAGGCACCGTGCAGGGCAACCTTCGGGCGGGGCTTCAAGAGGGAGGAGCTATTGCGATTCGAGAACCCATGTGGAAGCACATGGATGTCGGGGCGATGGAGGTCCAGCCATAAGGATCTCCAAATACATCAAAGAGGCGAGGGACTTAGGGTGCAAACCGTTTGATGGGACGGGAGACATCTCGGTTGCCGCACAGTGGATCAAGAGGCTGAACGAGGCAGCCCTTGACATGCAGCTCACCCCCGATTGGTCGTCGGAAATTATTCGTCTTTAACAAGAAAACTAAAGTGGAGGGTATAAAAATTAAATTTCCTATAATAGAACTACATAAAGCTTACAGATGAAAAAAACTTAACCAAATCCTAATCTCATAAAATTTGTACTCCCTCCGTCCCATTTAAAGGTTCCCACTTTCCTTTTTTGGACGTACCACTTAAATGTTCTGAGAGATATTTACCTAAATAGGAGTAAATCAATCTTTAATTGCCAAAATAGGACTTAAGTCTAAAAATTGCCTAAATAGGATATATTATTTGTAGTTGGACAGAAACACCCTTGAAGATAAGAAACCACATGGACACCGACAGAATGCCACACCGCCGGTGTACCACCGCCGACCACCGCCAACCACCTCAAAACTGACCGCCGCTGCAGATCTCACCACCGCCACGGCAGATCTGACCGTCGCCATCGCAGATCTAGCCAAATCTGGATGCCGCCCCTTCAGATGCAGCTGCCGCCGATGCAGATCCGGACTCCGTGGCTGCAGATCCGGCCTCTGCTGTCGCAGATCTAACCGATGGCTAGACTCTAATGCCATCATTTTGATCTGAATGCCAACATGAACCCAGAATGCCAATTTAATGGCATTTTCAAAGCAAAAGATGACATTTTTGAAGAGCAATTTTGCCATTTTAATGGCATTCTAAAACAAAATTTGAACGAGATCTACAATGAAACACAAAACAAAATCTGCAATGAAGGAAGAAGAAAAAGATGACAGAAGAAGAGGGGAGAAAAATGAGCTACTTCAACTCGGCCACCATGGCCACTAGATCTGAATTCACGACTCGTGGATGCTCCGTCTCTTCTCGCCGCTGGTTCCTTTTGCTCACCACCGTTGATCGTTGCTCGTTGCCGCTGCCTCACCTCGAAGGTCGCCGCTGCTGCCTCACCTCGAAGGTCGCCGCTGCTGCCTCACATTGAAGATCCTTGTTGAGAAGATGAACAAGGCCGGTGCATTTGTAGAAAAGAACGGGAGAAGAAGCTGGACTGCTGGGTCACACGATTTGAAGGCAATTAAATTAAAGGGAGGGTAAATTTGGAACAAAAGTCCTATTTAGGGAATAAATAATACTATCTATATACTCCTATTTAGGAATTTCAACAATAATTTAGTTTTATTAAGGGTAATTTGTCATGTTCTGACTTTCTATTTTAGGAAACAATTAACAAAATATATTAAAAAAACTAAAATATTATATACTTATCAAAAATATATTCGAATGAGCATATTTAATTATTATCTAAATAATCGTGTATCATGTTTGATGTAAGCCCTTAGCAGCACCCCATTGTCTAACATGAATGTTTACCATGCGTCATAAGAACAAAACTGCTTGATGTACACACCCTTGTACACACCATGTTTGTGAAGTTTTTTTTTGTCTGTGAATCCTATTCACAGACAATATTTTGTTTGTGCAAAAAAAAACCTTTCACAAACATAGGTGTGTACAAAAGTGTATATAAGAGTGTATAGAGAAACATATTTTTTTTTGTCATAAAAAAAATAAAAAATGTAGTGTAAGTTAGTGTGTAACTGCTAAATGAGTCCACCGTACTGAAAGACACGGGCAGTATCCACGCGGCCGCTTCCGTGCAATGCCGCAAGAACACGTTGCGTTGCCAAAACTCCAACCCAATCGACGCCACGACTTTATCCGTTTTGTGTTTTTCTATTTTGAACTTTTGCGAGTAAGCTCCCCCTAACTGCCTCCACCCAATCGCTGAACCACCGCTGCGGCTTCGACTTCGTCTTCTTCTGGCCACTGGACCTAAGCAGTGCATGAGCTGCCCTGCTCTTCAACCATTTCACTCGCAATTCCCATTCCAAAACCCTAAAATCCCCGCTTTTGTCAGAATGAGTGACCGGACGCCGTCCTCATACGGCGCTGTATATGTCCCTCCTCACCAACGGCTCCGCTCTGTCATCGTTGCACCATCCGCCCCTGCATCTTCCCAGCCCGTCGCCCACTTCAACTCCACCCCCACGAAGCCGAGTGTGAGCAATAAAACCCCGTTGCTAAAATCTAAGTCTCATAATCCGTACCCTTACTTGCCATCTCACCAGCAGCTCCATCAGCAACAACTGCAGTGTGTTGCGCAGACGCAGAAGATCTTTTCCCCCAGTGAGTTAGAGGTTCCTGTCGTCCATGTGAGTTTTGGATCCATCATCCATGTATTGCATTCTTTTTGCAAGTTGACATTTTTCCATCCAACCCATCTAGTTGTGACCCTTATAATGTTTATTGTTGTTAGATTGAGCATCCGTGCTATTTCGGTAAATATCAAATACAGGGGAGTACTACTTGTAGGACAATTGCCTTCTATAATCAATAAAATGTTTTTCTGCTTCTTTCTTTTGTAGTGATCATCCTGCATTTGCTTTACTCTAGTGGCTAGCAAGGAAATTTATACCGATTGTGAGCTGCACGTTTGTGCCTTACACAATAACCTGTCTTTACTTGCTGAGATTGCTTAAAGGCTTAGCAAATTATCAATAGTATCATCACAGAATCAATGCAATTCATAGCAACACATAACAATAACCGAATTTATGTGTTTTTAAGTTAAAAAGGGAAACAATTAGCAGTGAAAGTATAAAGATAGAATTCCCTAAATTGGACTAAAATATAGGTAAAGTGCACAAATGGGATCATCATTGTCTTATTCCTAAAGTTGGACGGAATCAATCCTAATTGGGAAGCTTTATACTTTTAATAGGATCAAATAAGTCCTATTTTGGGAAGAAAACATAAGTACTCCTACTTATGCACTTTATCTATGTTTTACGGTGTGTTTGCAAAAAATTAAAAAAAAAGTGATTTCAGCTTTTGGCTTAAAAAGCTGAAAAGGGTGTTTTCAAGTGACAACTTCCACTTAAATTGAACACTTAAAAGCTAAAAGCTAGAATCTGTTTTTTACTTTTTCTATTACACAAAAAGCACATATTTTATCAAACACTACCAACTTTTACTTTTCAAAATCATTTTTTTCTCAAACACTGCCAACTTTTACTATTAATCACTTTTTCCAAAATCACTTTAAAAGTGCTTTTTTTTGAAGCAAAAGCATTTGCAAACACTCCCTTAGTCGTATTTGGAGCAATTTCTTAAGTATATAAATTATGGATACTTCCTGAATGCTTTGAAACCATTACGAGTCATTAGTCACTTGCTTTGTTATTACTGCTGAGTCTGCTGAGTCATTACTTTCATAAATTATTATTGGGTGTGTAACCTTGCCCCTTTCATTGTTGTACTAACAAGTTATCAACTGACCTAGGGAATCACAACACTTCAGTGTACTTGCTGCCACTCACTCTATCCCCCTAACTTCACTCACTCTTTGTTTTGGTCTGTTCCATTAACTCTTCCTGCAATCCTACTATAAAAAGTTACTCACTAATTGTACTGGACTACTGGTACATGCTTTTTCCTGTTTTAGATCTCTTGTTTCTTAAGTGGCTATACTTAAATGGCCCACATCTATCTACCCAAAGTATTTTTGGCATGTCACATACTGGTATGCTGCAATTATAAAGCTCAATCTCTGTAAAACTCTATACCAAGTCCAGAACCCTTGCTTCCTCTCCCATCCGGACCAGAATCAATTAAAGTACGGACGGACCTCATCAATTAGAAGGCTATGCTCAACCACCAGAAGCTTTCTGAATGGTATAGTTGCTTTAGTCTATTGAGAAACAACGTTTTGAGTAAATGCATTCTCAGCCATAGCAGAATTTGTGTTCATGCCCTGAACACCAACATTCTCCTCAACCTGACTCATCAAGGAACACTGAGCTAAATAAAACTTCAACCCTTTTTCCCACTTCCCCCGTTGAGCTATGATTGACATCATCTCCACACAGCCTCATACTTTGCATTCCAGAAACCTTGGTGTTTGGCTGTTGCTCCATCTCAACCTTGTGGAAAGGTTTTTGATCAGATCCTGTTGAAGCATTCAAATGCATACCAGTCTCAGAAGTGACCTGCTGAACTTTACTCAAAACCAAGTTGAAGAATTCTATACAATCTCGAGACGCATCAAAATCTGGACGTTTAAGCATAAACTGCCGCAACCTTAGTTCTAATAGGAAGTTCCCGAACCTCCATTCCCGTCGTGTTAGAGTTTCTAGTACATTCAGTACCTTTACTTCCTCTTCCATCCATGTAGAAGCTGATGATTCCATGAAGCTTCTTTCCATCATTCTCCTCTTCTATTCCCCCAGTTTCCTTTATACTGATAGTCCCTGTAGAACTTTCCCAAATATTCGAAACAACCTTTTTATTAAGGGCAGATTCATATTCCCCTTCATAGAGCATTTTCTGTGGATTGCCTGACTCTTGCGACACGGATAGCAACGGTGAACTGATGGTGTCGGTGTCTCCTCTGTCTAGAGTTGTACTAGGGTTCGTAGAAGGATATCTCAGCGATTTGGAGTCTCCTCCTGATATCATCACAATTTGACGCGAGCTGATAGTGGATGAATCTGCGAATGAGGAAACCTGAGAGCGGACAGAATCTGCTAGCGCTGAGGATGAAAAGACCTGCGAACAAGGAGAAGCCGTTTGCGACTTTGAACTGGGAGAAACAGTTCGCGATGGCGAAGTTGTCGATTGCGATCTGGAAGCTTCTTCTTGTGACGAATTCCGACGGTGTCTAGTTGGGCTCCTCGCTCTGTCTCTATGTCGCTTGAGTCTGATGAATTTTGCCCAGCATGTGGCACATCTCCTTCGCCCAATCACTTTCAACCTTATCCGCCAGCTTCTCCACTTTTCCGCACTCAACCTTTTCAGCGAGCTTCTCCGCTTTTCCGCGCGAAGCATCCCGATCGGATCTTCCATGCGGTTCATTCCCCTTTTGCGTAGACACGCGCTTCTCCATTTTCACGTACAAACCAGAGGAGACCACCTTTTGTTCTGACTTTCGATGATGTTCCTTGCGCGTCTCCATTTGAAGGTCGGTCATCTTTGCTCGTTCATTTCTCATCATTGTACGCGATGAACTACTCTCCGGTTGCGCTAACGAGATTGTGATGATCAATTAAGTGCTCTGATACCAATGATAGATACCTCAGCAAAAGCAGCAAAAATTTACAATTTATTGAAGATGAAAGTTTGGTCGATTACAACTGAATCAGAAATAACAGAAAGAAAGAGAAGAAATCAGAACGAGACACTTCCCCCTTTTTATAATATTTCTATCCTTAAGAGCCGGCCCAAGCTCCTGAATTACAAGGCCCAAACCCTCACTTTTCCACTAACAATTTATTTGATATTATTCTATTACTATTATTAACTCTAATCAGCTCGGGTCCCTATCATTGGATCCAGCAAGAGTGGGACTAACATGGATGAGATTCTATATACTCGTTGCTAGCATTTTGTCCTCTCCAAGCAGCAACATCCCTGAGGGGTGATGTGTTTAATTTGAGGCAAGTATCAGACATGGACTAGAATCTTATGTCACCACATTGTAGCAAATGTTGGCCCGAACAGCCGAGTGTATGTCCGCATGCAATCAAAATATTTATTCCTCGACAGTACTACTACAGTACCGAAATCACTATTTTTTTCTTGCCCCTACTATCACTTTATTAACCTAAGTGAAACCCTCATTTGGACAACTATTTTGGAATGGAAGGAGCATCAGTTTTCACCGAGCCGACCCCATTTGGACAACTAAATTACAATCTTATATTTAAAAATTTAACTCGACACAAGATAGCCGTGAGAAAGAAAAGGATTGTGATGAAAAGTGGATCCGTGGCCACTGGCGCAAAATATTATTTTTGTAGAGGTCGTGGATGACGAACTCATGAAGAAACCTGAAATTGTCCACACCATATCTTTCCTCAACACAATGACTGGGCTGAAGTTGTAGTCCACCATGCAATTGAACACAACCTTGGCTGAAGTGCCGAACACACATTCACTATTTTGGTGAACTCGGGAAATAGCCACAATTTTATCCACAAGCGTTGGGTTCTTGTGCACACACTTCAGCATTACTCGCATGCCTACAGATTTTTGTGGTCAATGGGGACCAGTTACCAATCACCGATACGTGCCTGCGCCTTCAATTCATAGTAAAGAACAATCACTTTCGTGTAGATCAGTATGTATTGCCGTTGTCACGGTTTGATATGGTTTTGACTTTCAATAGCTACATGCGCTCTGCTTCATCCTATGGGAGTTTGCAAAACTAGCCTTGCAGTTCACCTGGAATGGCATTATACTGACATGGCAGGGTTGCGGTACTAATGTTCCAGCCGGCTCTCACGTGGCGATCTACCACAATGTCATCAGTCCCTCTCTAAATGAGCTCGTGGAAGACTTTCGTGACGTCTTCTGCATGCGATCACCTGATAACTCTGCTTCAAAGCACAAGTTCACTTGTGGTTTGTCTTTATCACCACCAGACACCACAGGGTCCTTGCCACTTTTGGACACTGTTTCTGAGGCAGTGAAACCATATGCAATGCTGCAGGTCGGTTCAATCCTGGAGTACAGTCTACAGAGGCGCTGAGAAGAAGCTTATGGGTAGAGTCATTTCACACGACTATCTGGATTTTGAGCTCAATTTGACGAGGACAAGCTCTTCGCTAACGTGGGCTGTGATGTTGTGGAATCCTTTTGGGCCACAAGTAGTGTCAGTGCAAAACGTGCCAGTGAGTCGAGCAGCCAATAATTGATAGCAGCTAAACTTTGAGATAAAGTTATTGTTTCATATTATTACTAAATATATTAGTTCTAGCTCAGTTAGCCGTTTCGTTTTGTGATATAAATTTGTAATAGCCTTGCAAATCTTGTTTCCTTTTCTCTTTAGAACTCTGGCAGCCTCTATTTGCGTTTTTCTGATATAGAATAAATTACACTATGGAGAATTAGTTAAAGCAATTGTGGATTATTCAAATTTGAAGAGGATGGTCCATAAAAGTTTGCCCGGGTATTAATTATTATTGATTTTCTTTATTTATATGGATTGCAATGTTTTTGAAGGGGGATCTTGGCACACTGGTTCAAGTCTTGGGAGCAGCCTCTTGTCAAAATTTGAAAGGGGAAGTCTTGCTCCTTATACACGGACACACCCTTGTGGTGGGACCCTTCCTCGTGCCTTGCGGGGATGCCTTCGTGCACTTGGATTCCCTTTTTTATGTGGATTGCAATGTCTGTGACTTGTGGTTTACTGGGTTGTGATGGGCCATAGACTCTCGAACTCCAATATGACAACAAAGATGTTAGGCGTTTTCTGTTTTTTAGCTACTAGGAAATTGGGGAGGATCATTTGGACTCAAATATGAGAGTAGTATGTTTGGCTTCTTTAGTTTTGCATTTTTTTTTTGTTTTCCAGAATGCAAAACAGAGCTATTGTTTTGCTAATTTGTGGTGAACATTGAATAATGCAATCCAACCATTATAGGAGGTTTTCCTTTTTTTTGAGGATATAAACTCTGCTTGACAAGGATTTGTAAAGTATGGTTTTCTGGTCGAACCTTCATTACATAACATTCAATTGTCAACTGTCAATGGAAACACAATATACCTATAAACATTTATTGGGTTTCATCCCCCCTTTAATCATTTTAATTTTATAATAAACGTGCTTATAAAATGATAGAGATCTGGGTAATCACCAATAGTAATACTCCCTCCGTCCCGTTAAGATTGTCCCATCTTTTTTTTTGGTCCGTTTCACTAAGATTGTCCCATACCAAATTTGGTAAAGTTTGTGTGGTTCTAAATAATTCTTACTTTTTTCTTTCTTTATCAATTCAATATCAGCTACAAACTCACTTTTTTTAAAACCGCATCTCCTCCCCATGTCCCGATGTTAGTGGGACGGAGGTAGTATAAATTATTATGATAATATAAGGTGTACAAGAGAAGGGGTCCGAGACATGTAAGTGAAGTGTTCTCTAAGGTAGTCCCAGCAGGGAATAGTATTAATATGGACAGAGGGAAGGAGGGAAAGGTAGGCAAGTGTTCTCTTAGTTGGTTGGGCCTAGGAGAGAGGAAGACACTCTCGAAATTGTCTGTACCTTACTTCCTGTTCACGGCATCATGGTAGTTTGCTCAGTCCTTCTCTGTATTTCTCTACGGATCTCTGAGATCTTCTCAGAATCCATTGCTTAATATACATATAATTCTAGTGTGTGTCTGCGTGCTTGCAATGTTACCTAACATAAGATAGTCCTAATTAACTGAGCATTGATTTCTTGATGGTCAATTCTATAGTTTCCAAGTGTTGCATCCATGTCTTAGACACAAGTAATGATTGGACAATGAATTTAGGGTTCATCCATCTCTGGCAGAGTTGATGCATGGAAATGGAAGTTGAACACTCTCTTACAAGATGAAGATAGTCAAGAGATAGTCTCAAGGGAGAAAAAGGATAGGCGTGATTTTGAACAGATATCAGCTTTAGCCAGTGGAATGGGGTTGTATAGGTATGCTTGACTTTATTATTTTAGGCACTGTTTGGTTGGAGTTCAGGATTTTGAAACGAATTACTTTTTCACAGCCATATGTATGCAAAAGTACTGGTTGTTAGCAAGGTTCCATTGCCAAACTACAGGTTTGATTTGGATGACAAGCGTCCTCAGAGAGAGGTATTTTCTTTATGCTGCTCAGTGTTGACTTAGTGTACTTGATCCATTTATTGCCATGTGCATTTTATTAATTATTTTATCTTGTGATGTTCCTCTGTTAGCTTATGGCTTCCACTTACTTGCCTTTGCTAAGTTTTGTTTGGAAGTTGGAAGCAGATTGATTTATAATCTTCCTTCTAAATTTTGTATTTCCTACCATTCTCCTTCTGACCTTTTAACTTGTTTAGCAAATCTTGAGTTCCTTCTACGTTTCTATCATTTATGCGTATCATCATGGTGCACCTGCTTAATAATTGACAGGTAGTTCTGCCACCAGGGCTACAAAAAAGGATAGATGCTCACCGTGAAAAATACCTTTCTTGTAAGCCTAATACAACTGAAGTTTCAAGATCAAGCAGTAATTATAGTTTTGCTAATGATGAGGCGCTTTTTGAACTGCCTGAACTACTTCCACATAGTAAGGCTGTCTTGGAGAATATCCTTTGGCAAAGGAGTGTACAAATGCACACTGAGCAGCAAAATTGGCAGGTTCAGTTATCTCTATCATTGATCTTTTTGACTTCGGAATCTAATACGCTTCCATTTTTCTCATTTGTCTAGAGTTATAACTTATAAGGAGCTTCCATTGTCTTCAGGTCTACTAGTCTACATGAGCAACTAATTATCTCCAATATAATTTTTTACATTAATAGTCATATAAACACCAACGCGATTTTCATCATGGGTCATCTGGAAACAATCTCTCCCTACTTTAGTACAGGGGTAATAATGGTAAGATTGCGTACATTCGATCTCTCTTACCCCACCATAGGTGGAGCCTTTGCGGCAGTGGGGTAATGTTGTTGTATTTATATAAGCACCAATGATAGTTAATACCCCTCATTTATGTCTATTTTTCCCTGCCAACCCCGCCTTATTCAGTGCCTCAGCTACCTATCATTATATACATATATCCCTTTACCACTTAGCTACCTCGGGCCCCCACCCTTACCACCCTTCCCCTCTTCTTCAACCACCACCATTGCCGCCAGATGCCCTTACTATTGTCATCACCTACCACTCCTCCCCTACTCACCTTATCACCAGTCTCAGTTCTCAAATGCCTTTAGAAAACTCAGGTTCATTATTTGATAAGCTTTTGTGCTTGCGATTCAGAACCACTCTGTTAAATCACTTTCTTGATTTTTGATTCTTGGGTTGCTTGTAGCATAATGAATCTGGTGAGGGTTTAATGATTGCCTAACTTGAATTTGATCGTAGAATTGGACAAATATGACGTTTTTTTGCTACAGAAATCTGCAGAAGGTAGGGCGATGTTTGCATTTCGTTGTGGGCTTCCTGCTTACAAGGAAAAGGATGTGATATTAAGTGCCATTACACAGAGTCAGGTATGCTGCCATACTTTATGGACCCGTGAAACCAAATTTGTGCATATTTCAAAATCCATGTACCTCTCTTTTCTATGGTTCTCTTCTGCGTGCCTGCCGTCTTGGCCCCCTCCCCTGAGTTATATTTGTTTGTTTGTGTAAAGTTTAAACTCAGAGGGAGGTGCTCTTGAGCATTAAAAGTTAAAACCCAATGTGTGCTCTTCATTAAGACAATGGATTCACTTTTCCATTTCACTGCCACCATGTAGAAATGGCTAGGATTTTAAAACACCTTTGTTCTATTCTACAACGAGTCAGTGAGTCAAATGCATGTGAGTATCTGCTAAATTTGTCTCCATATAGCTTTCATTACTTAAAGTCAAGCACTTAGATGTCCTAAAGTTTGCATGTTGGAATGGAAAGCTGCTTCGTAGCGTAAATCAGTGATTTGCATGGGCGATATTTAAACTATCTTAATCCTCCTTTGGTACTGCTGGTGAATGGTGATGAGAAAAATATTATCAAAATCTACAGGTGGTTATTATCTCAGGTGAAACTGGTTGTGGGAAGACCACACAGATTCCTCAATTCATTTTAGAGTCTCAAATTGAATCGCTTTGTGGAGCCGCTTGCAATATTATATGTACCCAGCCAAGAAGAATATCTGCTATGTCTGTATCGGAACGGGTTGCATCAGAGAGAGGGGAGAAATTAGGCGAAACTGTTAGACTCCAAAATCTCTTGCAGTTTTTTTGGCGAACTGAATCTCGTGATACATGTTTCCTGACTGTGTGTTCGGTTCATTCATTTTTTCTCTTTTCAGGTGGGCTATAAAGTTCGTCTTGAAGGTGTTAAGGGAAGGGACACACATCTCCTTTTTTGTACCACTGGCATCTTGTTGAGAAGATTATTAGTCGATAGAAACTTGAAGGGTGTTACCCATGTTATTGTGGATGAGATCCATGAGCGTGGAATGAATGAAGGTAAAATAATTCTTCACTAGGGTATTGTTAGTTTGGGGAGATAATTAGTTTATGTCTTACTACTTTGCATGTTCACAGATTTTCTGCTCATCGTTTTAAAAGATTTACTCCCTCGTCGACCAGAACTAAGGTTGATTTTGATGAGTGCAACTTTAGATGCAGAGCTTTTCTCATCATACTTTGGCGGTGCTCCCACAATTCATATTCCGGTGAGTTAATGGAGTAGTCGCAGTGTCACACAGTTTTTATAGAGAAAGAAAGATACTTTTTTTTTGTAGGGGGTGGGGATCAAGCTTGGTGTCCAAACTCTAAAGCCACATACTTTTTTGGGGAGACTGGAAACATATGCCCCCCCCCCCCCCCCCCCCCCCCCCCGTTTCTCACATAGGCAAAGGGGCACCACACTTCCACTTTTGACGTTTGTTTTGCTGCTGTATGATTGGGCTTATATTAACACTAACTCTTCTTCTGTTGTCTTTTGTTTTGCTGCCTTTACAACCCTTAGAACTGAACCTCTATATCCTAAAAGCTGTAAGCATGGGGAGAGGTGCTTTAAACTGATTTTCACTTTTTCTATTATTAAGTACTTTTTTTACCAAACACTCCAACTTTGAGTTTTTACAAATCACTTTTCTTTGCAAACACTACCAACCTTTTCTAGTAGGCACTTTTCGTTAACTATTCTAAAGATACTCGCATATATCTCATTTTCATTTACCCCAGTGCCGCAAAGGCTCCCACCTACGGTGGGGTAAGGGGGGGTCGGATGTACGCAGTCTTACCCCTGTACTAAAGCACAGAGAGACTGTTTCCGGATGACCCATAGTGAAAATCCCGTCCAAAATTGCATGGACTGACTGCTGCTTCATGACAAAGAAGCGCAAACAGTTTAGTGAGCCATTTTGCTTTATTCCATCATTAGCTCAAGCCAAAAAATAATGAATCTTTGGCTCCATTGCAAATGATGGAAACAAAGATACTCGCATATATCTAATTAAATGTAATTAGATAACTGCTGTACTTAGTCAGGGTTGTTAGCATAGTTTTAGCGTATATCCTATTTTTTAGGAGTTGGTTGTTAGTGACGTATTCTATTTAAACCGACAGTCTATGAATGAAATAATTCATTCCGCCTAAAATCTCTTTCACTCACTTCTCATAAAATCTCTAAAATACATCACCTCTGAAAAGTTGAAGCAATTGTAAACACTCTTTTATTGTGTTAACTAGTTTTCACAATCAATTACACCATCTTTCATGGCACCGACCCCAACTTGATGGGATTTAGGTTCTACAGCTGCTAATCTGCTACAGATGATAATGATCTATCATCTAGAGAATAAAGAGTCTTCTTTGTCAGCATGTGGCAGTAGTATGAATATCAAGCATTCGAGCTATATGGGTGTATTTAATGTGTGGCTAATGTGTGGCCTTATTTAGTAGGAAACAAGAACCCTAGGCTCCTACCCTCCATGTTTTTAGGTGATATTCTTGATTTCTTGAATTGGAATTTATTATATCCTCTAGCTTTTCTTTCTTCCTTAATTGAAATTGTTTCTTAGATGGATTAAACTGATTTTTTCTTAATTTCTTGGTTCAAATTAGGGATTCACACATCCAGTTCAATCTCATTTTCTAGAAAGTATCCTGGAGATGACGGGATATAGATTGACACTATACAACCAAGTTGATGATTATGGTCAAGAGAAAGCTTGGAAAATGAATAAACCGGCTCCAAAGAAGAGGAAAAGCAAACTTGTGTCAGCAGTTGAGGTATACTAATATGAAAGCACCTTTGTTTTTCTTATATTTCTTACTTCTTTGATAATATTTTGTTAAAATGCTAATATCTTCATTGGTGTTAGGATGCCCTTGAAGCTGCTGATTTCAAGGATTATAGCACACACACAAGAGAGTCTTTGTCATGTTGGAACCCTGATTGTTTGGGCTTCAACCTCATTGAGTATCTGCTCTGCCATATCTGTGGAAATGAAGGGCCTGGTGCTGTTTTAGTTTTTATGACTGGTTGGGATGACATTAATTCTCTCAAAGAAAAGCTTCTATGTCATCCTACTTTGGGAGATGCAAGCCGCGTCTTATTGTTGGCTTGTCATGGTTCTATGGCCAGTTCGGAGCAGGTGAGTGGATGCATTTTGATGTACTACTTCCACCCCCCTAACATTGGTACAAGAGGAGGTGGTGCGGTTACCAAGAGGAGTGAGTTTATGTGGTTGATATTGAATTGATAAAGTAGGAATAAAGTAAGAATATTTAAAAGCATACGAGTATTTCCAAATTTGGTATGACACAAACTAGTGGGACGGACAAAAAAGGAAAGATGAGATAATCTTAGCGGAACGGAGGAAGTAATTATTTTGATCCACTATATATTGAAAAATTGAAATTTATTATATCTCCATTTCAAGTGTGGGGAATAGACAGGCAGGGAGTAGAGTACCAATTCATCTTCTCCTATGGATATAGTACTCGCATTCAATCTTCTAATTTGAGTGGTAGTTGGAAATACTTATATATGACCCTTCCCTTCATTTCTTCTTATCAATGGGTGTAACCATTTTCTTGCCCCCTCCCCAAATGGCCCAAAGCGTTAAACCACTGTCCTTAAATTGAATATGAAATGGTATGGCATCTCTTTAATTTATTTGTCTATACTTTTGAATGTTATGTGTAGAGGTTAATATTTGATGAGCCTCAAGGTGGAGTTAGGAAGATTGTGTTGGCTACTAACATTGCTGAAACTAGTATTACGATCAACGACGTGGTTTTTGTTATTGACTGCGGGAAGGCAAAAGAGACCTCATATGATGCACTCAATAATACTCCATGTTTACTGCCTTCATGGATATCAAAGGTTTCAGCTCAACAAGTAATGTTTCCTCTTCTTCAAATAAATAAAGGTCTTACTTGAAATCTCTGATACATTTGTAGAATTAATTAGGGATATTTCATGTGGATCGCTATGCTTCTGAGTTTTGCCTCATACTCCCTCAGTCCCAATTTGTAAGATACATTTACTATTCACTTGGTCAACATAAATCACTCTTAATCTTTTACTTGATATATCAAAAGTTTATGAAATTTGAATTATTTTTTGCAGCCTTTGTAGCGGTTTTAATGTAGCTTCTGAATATGTAAATTTCATTTTCTAAAACTAATTTGAGTGTTGACAGGGATCAATTTGCTTTATCATCGGTCAAACATCATAAACCGGAAAGTATCTTACAATTTGGGATGGAGGGAGTAACATTTTGAGCTCACCGCCTCCGGCCTCACCTTGTTAAAGAAACCTCTCAAGTTCCGTAAACTTTGATTTTTGACTTCGCTTTAGTATATAGTTTAATTGTTTTTGAAATCTATTTCCGTAACACACTTGTTTCTCTTATTATATATTGTTATTTTCGTTTAGAACATCTTCATTTCAGGTATATTTCAAGTGTATCTGTGTGTAATATAGAACATATTAACATTTTGTAAAGTCTATTCTTTGATAGTTTGATCTGGCTTGTACCAGTTAAGAAAGTAAAATTAGTATTAGTTTTAGGTGAGTTGGAAAATATAAACACACTTACCATGTTTAGTTTACATCTAAGTTAATTAATTACTACCTCCTATCCAAATTGGTGCTCTCCTTTGGATTGTGAGGCTTGACCGAGTGTAAAGTTAATTCTTCCTAGTTCCTACATAATATTTGAATGAGTATTAGTTTTTAAAATTTATATATTCAAAAAACAAATTGCTACTCCCTCCGTTATTTTTTGTTTGTTCCTATAGGGTTTGACGGAGATTAAGATTGAAATAGTAGGGAGTTAAGCATAAATAATCCTATAATTTAAAGAAAATAATTTCGTGCTTGGCATTGTTGATTCTTTGCTCTCTAAATACTACACTACGTAATTGTTAAGCACATAAGTTCAATTTTAAAAATTCTGCAAAGTTAAAATGGATAATTAAAAAATGGATGAGGGATCATATTAAGATTAAAAATCTGAGCATATGTAACATTAAATCAACATCCATATACATTGTCATTTTTCTCTGCATTTCTAAAATTATTATTGGTAATTTTTTTATGGTTGCTATGAAGCCTGTGTATTACTGATGTGTGATGTCTGCTCCAAGTCTCCAACACATACGGAGTCCTTCCACTTTGGAATTTTTTAACTCTGTTCTTTTTTGTCGAAACTTGCAATTTTTTAATAGAGAAGGGGAAGAGCAGGACGCGTTCGGCCTGGAGTGTGTTATCATCTTTATCCTAGATGTGTATATGATGCTCTTGCAGATTATCAACTCCCTGAAATTCTGAGAACACCTTTACAGTCCCTCTGTTTGCAAATCAAAAGTTTGAAACTTGGTAGCATTCCCGAGTTTCTTTCCAGGGCCTTACAGTCTCCAGAATTGTTAGCGGTAATTTGCCAAATGGATAAAATGTTCTGGCTTTACATCATTTCCGTTATTTGGTTCTGGAATAACCAAGAACGCTCTAGCAAATTGCAATTACATGCAGTTGCTATCCATGCATGTCTACATTTGACTCAACCACTCATTAATACTGTTGTAGGTTCAAAATGCTATTGAGTATCTGAAGATCATTGGTGCTTTGGATGAGAATGAAGATCTGACTGTTTTAGGTCTGACATTTGTACTGTGCCTCACTTTTACGTCATCAATTGATTACAAGGCTACATCCTGATGTGGCGTTGCTTAATCTCTGAGTTTCATACAGGACGCTACTTAACAAAACTTCCAATGGAGCCCAAACTTGGAAAAATGATTATACTTGGAGCTATTCTCAATTGTTTGGACCCAATTTTAACTATTGTGGCTGGCCTTAGTGTCCGGGACCCTTTCTTGGCACCACTAGACAAGAAAGATGTAAGTTCATCTTCAATTTCTACTTGACAGATCATTATTTGGACCATTCCTGATGCCACTAGACATGGGCTTAATGTTTCTCACTGTAACAATTTTAAGCTGTTTACAGCACTTAATAATGGGTCTGAGCCATCCTGATCAACTTTATGTGTAATTTAGTCTAGAGATGGGGGATTCTTTCCCATTCTGAGTTCAGTATCACAAAAAGGGAAAATGTTGACAATTAGTAGTCTCCTTTTCAGAGCAAAATAGTAGGTATGCAAGTAAATATTTTTACACCTTGTTTCTATGGTGTCATGTTTTCTAGTCTTTGAGTCCTGCAAATTTGCAGTGCACGTTCTGTTCTCAGAAAGTTTAAATTCCCAAGCTAACACCATGAATCACTTACATTGATACTAGTTAAACAGATATTCTGGATACAGCTTTGGGGATTATTTTTCAAAATTGAACACTTTATTTTGCTCTTTCGTACCCAAATCAGCTATTCTGCTTCGCATTTTAAACTATCGCCCGCTTCTCCTTTTATGCGCCAATGTTTTAATCTAAAAGCTGGGGTGTCCTATTTTCAGCTAGCTGAAGCTGCAAAGGCTCAGTTTTCTCGTGATCACAGTGACCACCTTGCTATTGTCCGTGCATATGAAGGTTGGAGAGATGCTGAAAAAGATCATGCGGGATATGAATACTGCTGGAAGAATTTTCTTTCTGCACAATCGATGAGGGTCATTGATTCTCTTCGAAAGGAGTTCTACTCTTTACTCAAGGATACTGGTCTTGTTGATAGCAATCCTACCATTTACAATGCTTGGAGTTATGATCAGTCTCTTGTACGAGCAGTTGTTTGTTATGGATTATATCCTGGAATCTGCTCCGTAGTGGTAAGTTCTTTTGAGTTGCACTACAACTGTATATGCAGGCTATTTTAACACCCTCTTATGATTTATGAATTGCCCAGATGAGTTATGCTATGTGCCCTCTCCCACATCACTGTCAAATTACACGTTGACAATGTTTTCCCAAGAAAGCGCGTTCTATGAAAAATATTTCTTGAGAAGTACTTTATCCTATACATAATATAATGTTTAACTGACAAAAATAGAAAATATAAACTTTAGTGGGAAGTCATTATCCTCTAAATCTTTCCAAGAAAATGTTTTATACGCCAAACACATAAATATCAGAAAATATTCTAAGAAAACATTTTCTTGGAAACAAACAAAGCCAAAAAACCACATCAAGAAGAAAAATGTGCTTTTAGTTATTTTTATTGTGCATTCAATTATTTCATTGGATTTCTGGATTCTCTACCATCCCTTAATCTTTTAAGTTCTTATTAATATATTGTTCCTTGCAAGTTGCAATTAATGCTTGCTATTACAATGCAGCACAATGAGAAGTCATTCTCATTGAAAACAATGGAAGATGGTCAAGTGTTTTTGTACTCTGTAAGGATTTCATATTCGTATTGTCTTCTTGTACCTTCATTCAATGTTTAAAAGCATATTTAATCCTTACATTTTTCCTCCCTATACATGTCTAGAATTCTGTTAATGCACGGGATACTAAGATACCTTTCCCGTGGCTAGCTTTCAATGAAAAAATTAAAGTGAATGCGGTTTTCCTTCGGGACTCTACAGCCATCTCTGATTCAGTACTATTGCTATTCGGTGGAAGCATTTCAAAGGGAGATTCAGTAAGCTCTCCTGTCCTTGTTATTCCCCAAGGGCCAAAGATCCTTTTTGTACGTTTGGATCTTCAGAAATGCTAGGGAATGGGAGAAAAGAGTTTAAGTTATTTTCTTTTCTTTGGTTGCCTTAGAAGGAATATTGAATAAAAATTTGCCTAAATTGTAATTAATAGATGAGTTCAAATGACTATCTAAATTAGTCTTTATTGAGCTTAACATATTATTTAGGAAAAATTGATTATAATAATCCCAACTATTGGCGGTCCGCTTATAATAATCCCAACTATTGATTATTTCAGAATAATCCCAACTTTAGGGACCTTCCTCCAATAATAGTCCCCTGTAAATAAGTTTATGTACTTTCTAAAGTGGATGAGAAGAGATATAGCAAGTAATTCCTATAAATTATCCTTAACTTTTAATTTTTAAGCTTAATTTCTCTTTAAATTTCACTTTTATAGAAGGTAATATTTGGTCATGGACCATTATTGGCGGACGGTCCATATAGTTGGGATTATACAAAAATAATCAATAGTTGGGATTATTGTTAGCGAACCGGCAATAGTTGGGATTATTATTTTCAATCTTTCCTATTATTTATTCCCCCAGTATTTTCTTTCCTTCAAATGTTTTATCCTCTTAACACCACCTCACTAAGTCTTAGCGGGTTCCAAAAGGAACCTTTATAAATTGCGTCTTGATGTTAAGGCCTGGAAGGCCCCACGTGCACAATAACATGTTTAATGTCGATATGAAATTATCTGGGCAGGATGGCCACTTGAAAATGCTGGGGGGATACTTAGAGTTCTTTATGAGCTCTTCAACAGCTGAGATGTTCCAAAGTTTAAGGAGAGAGCTTGATGAGCTTATTCAGATAAAAGTAAGTGAAAAGGGTGGACACTACAGAGCATTTTGGGCTACCATTTTTCATCTCTTGTATTTTCTCGTCCCAAAAAAACGAGTTTTGTTTGTAATACTGATTTCAGTATTAGAAAAATTGAGGCTTCGTTTTGAGATGGATATAGTGTATTATTTCCCATTGCATTACACAGACATGTTGTGGTTCAAATAAGAAGTGTAGAAATAATGCAGGAAAGGGCATTAGATTCAGGATCTAAGGCCTCATAAGGTGATCTAATTCCTCAAAGACAAGGAGATAATTTTGTTACGAAACGGAATTTTTTACCACTGCAAAAGTGCAGTTCCTTAAACATAAGAGTGCAACCACGATGAAAAAAGTGCATTTCCCAGATCACATGGGAAATGCACTTTCCAGTTTGAACCACACCCTATGCAGTTGTCTGTGCACATGCACACAAAGACATAAATATTTGATTTTATAATTTTTTTTGTCTAATCAGGTTGAATTAATGACATGTTTTAGTCACTCAGTTTCTAGAAACAAACTGAATTTTGATCGAGTAAAAACATTCCCTATCAATTTCACTTTATAATTGTATGTGCTCTTTGTATGGTATATTGTTCAACAGCTTTGCCATTTTGGATTTCACAACACCTGGCTATTAGATTAGAAAACTTTCAATTGATCGATTGGTTTTTGCTTGCTAAATATTCATGCAGCTCCTACATCCCAAGATGGGCGTACATACATATCATGAACTTCTGTCTTCAATACGATTGATTCTGTCTGGGGATCAATGTAGTGGCAAGTTTGTTTTTAATCGTCAGCAGATGACTCAACAACCATCCAACCCATCATCCACTGCCGCACCATCACAATCCTCAAAGTCAAGAACCGAAAGTGGTCCCGGGGGAGATAATCCTAAGAGTCAACTCCAGACTGTATTAATCCGAGCAGGCATTGCGGCCCCTGTCTACGAGACAAAGCAACTCTCTAACACCCAGTATCGATCAACCGTGGAGTTCAATGGGACCCAGATAGTTGGACGACCGTGTAACAACAAGAAACAAGCAGAAAAAGATGCAGCAGCCGAGGCTTTGGAGTGGTTGTTGGGCGAAAACCGTGCAACTAATGGCTACGTTGACCATGTTTCCATGTTACTAAAAAAGAGCAAGAAAGACCACAATTGAGAAGCTGCTTTATATGTAAGTCATTTCCTGCATGATAGTTTGATCTCTGCTAAGAGAGTGGAACGACATTGCTTGTTGCCTGAGTGCTCAACATCTATGGGGGTTATGGATCCCCCCCAGTAATAAAATTGAAATTATCTTTGGGAAGGTAAAAAAAAGTTATGGAGGCCCCCTCTGACCCCCATGTTCTATTTCTCGCGTGTGCATGTGTGTGTATATTCTTTTGCGTGTGTCTATAAATAAAGGGGAAACTGTCAAATGGGCCCCCCTACGATATGCAGTGTCATTTAGGCCCTCTTACCTAGAAACACCTAGTCAGACACATAAACTTGTTAAAATACTCAATTAGTGTTTTTAGCAGTTTACCTACATATTTCCTAATTACTTTGCCACCTCACTTCATCTCGCTTTCACATTATCTAGTTTTTTTGTTTTCTTTTATGATATAACTTTATTTATTGAAAGGGAGCCTTGGCGCACCGGTTACAGTGTTACTGTTTGACTTAGAGGTCATGTGATCAAGTCTTTGGAGTGGTGTCTTGTCAAAATGACAAAAGAAGACTTGCCCCTTATACACCGTTTTGGGTTGGACCCTTCTCCGGAACATCGGCTTGCGGGGACGCCAATGTGCACCGGGCTACCCTTTTATACAATTACTTTTTCCTAATCCCACCGCTCTTCTCCCATCCAGCCTGTACCCCCGGCCTTTTTTGAACAAAAGTGAAGAAAAAATTGGCTGCTGACCATCACTGCTGGATGTCATTGTTCTTTTTTTGGAAAATTCTTAGTAGAAGAATCACCAATCGCGGTGGCGGTGGCGGTTTTGTTTTCTTGATCGTTACAAAAAAAGGCCCACGACCAATGGTGGAGGCAAGTGGAGATGAGAGTGGCGGGTTGAAATAGGGAATAAATTATAAAAAGAAATCATCATTATCGTTACCCCAGTGCCGCAAAGGCTCCCACCTACGGTGGGGTAAGGAGGGGTTGGATGTATGTAGTCTTACCCATGTGCTAAAGCACAAAGAGACTGTTTCCGGATGACCCCATAGAAATTATAAAAAGAAATAAATAGAAAAAACTAGATGATGTGGTAGTCAGCTGGCAATAATATATCATCAGGGTGGCAAGATAATCTGAAGATGTATTCCTTGCTTGCTGAAATTGTGAAAAATTCACCGTGGCCACTGGGTATTCTTTAGATCCAATGGGGTGTTATTAAGGATTTGAAACCTATCGGACAGTTTTCACTCAGATAAATAACATATTTATTTAATTTCATTTGTGCCTTAAATTGAATTTACAATTCTGACCCCCAAAGCATTGTATGTGTTCGCTCACTGTATGTAGGGGCTGCTGAGTGCTGACACTGGTATTTCGGTATATACACATGGTGCAGATATGAGCTGAAAATAAAATTGGAAAAAGGGTAAGTGGCCGTGGTCGCCCCGGGAATTTCATTAAGAACATGATCATATAAGGTCTGCATTCGCGTGGATAAAGAAGAAAGTGCAAGAGATTCAGGGTGGAGGGGGCAGTGAGCCGCTAATATTTTTGAGGTTGGACTGATAAGCTTAATTAGTCTGTATATAGACTATAGTTAGGGTGATTTCAGAAATTGGTTGCTGGCTCATTTAAAAGTGCGTCTGAAATTCCTTCAACGTCACTTGTGTTGCTTGCTACCGCACGTAGGGATTTCAAGGGCTGACTTTGTATTGAGGACCATATACTCAACATCCCACCCTTATTTAGTTGTCGGTTCTCAGGATTTGTTTGACCCGTCATGGCTGGGTCCTTGTGATCTGCCCGGCACTCTCTCAATATTGATAATGTATATTATACTACGTATATTATTATTGGATTTTTTAATGGTTATATATTAGTATTGTTGTCGTCCTTATAATAACGAAAAATAACTTAAAATAATACCAACTATCACGGTATCACCCATAAACCAATAGTAATATATACTTTGAAAATGATTTTCAATAATACCAACTATTTGTCAATAAATCAAGAATAATAATGGAGTCACTTTTTGATAAGAAATTCAATCATTTAATACATAAAAAATTAATAGCAAATTATAAAATACTTCCTCCATTCTTAAATAAATGCAACGGTCAACATTTCACACTTGTCGAGACATAGGAATGGACTCGGGCCGGTTCGGGCCCGGTTCGGGCCTGGGCCCGGCCGGGCCTCGGTTCTAGGAAGGCAGGCCCGGAACTGGCCCGGATAACCCCGGGTCCGGTTCGGTTCGGGTCACCCGCCCGGTTCACGGGCCGGGCCGCCCGGTGGGCCGGGCCGGACCTATTTAATTTTTTTTTAATTATTATATAATTAGAATAAATCTTATTACAATTACAATATATTATATTTGAATTGAAGTATAATTATTTCAAATAAGAAGTACAATTGAGAATTAGGATGAATTTAAAAAATGTAATACATTTTGTAATAAAAAATCAATCGGACTCTCCGCCTTCGGTTGTTTCCTCCATAAAGTGGCGGGAGAGAGTGATGGTAATTTCTTGAGTTCTTCGTTGGGCCTTCAACCAATCGTGAAAGCAAACTAGTGTCTCAAGAGAGCTCGGGCTCAACCTCGTTCTAAAATCGGTTAGGACGTTGCCGGCCGCACTGAATTCTTGTTCCACGGCAACGGTTGATATCGGCATTGCTAGTACTTGCTTAGCCATCTTTGATAAAATCGGGAATGTTCTTTCATTTTCCTTCCACCACTTAAGAACGTCAAAGTCATCACCAACTTCATAATCAACATTCAATGTTTGATACAAAGAAAGCTCGTTACCTGAGCTTTGTTCAGTAGCGGGAGTTGCTCTACTTTTTTTCAAAAGAGAACCAAAAGCGGATTTTAAAAGTGATTTTCCTTTAGATGAAGAAGATGTTTGTTGCATGGGAGGGGGTGCATTACCATATTGTGCATGAAATTCATTATACAATTGATGAAATAAATTACTAACCTCGTTGAATTCTTGTTTAGGGTCGATGGGATTATCATCGAACTCTTGAGTTGGAAAAAAAGAAGCATAATAGTAATCTATACAATTTGCCAAGTAAGGAAGTTTATAACGAGGATCAAGAACAAATGCAATACCATATATATGCGGAATATGTGAATAATATTTTAAAAACTTTTGTTTCATGAAATCACAAAAATAACTAACGTAAGCGGCGTCGGAAAATTCACAAAAAGCGCTGGCGAGATTAACAGCTTCAACAAAAAAATCGTTTGCGGTAGGTTTATAAACATGACTAAAAGTTAGAGTTGCGTTATTAAAATATGCCAAAACATTAACAATTTTTTCACAAGTGTCGATGTCAGCCGGGTTTATAATATAGTTACAAGTTTGTCTTAAAAAAGCTGGAAAATGATCTTTATATCTAACAAGTACTTGAATTAAATTATAAGTACTATTCCAACGAATAGACAAATCTTTAGGAAAAGCACAATAATTCACACGTCTATCCTTCAAATATTGCCGCCATTGCATTTTTAGTGGAGTGTTAGCCCAAATCAATTTAATTCCCCCCTTCACTACCTCCAAAGCATTTCCTAATGCCGCTAAGCCATCTTGTACACACAAATTTAGAATATGACATGCACAACGTTGATGAAAAAATCTACCCATCAATGTAGAAGCACAACACAATTCACGTAATCTAGGTATAGCAGCAGTATTATTACTAGCATTATCAAAACCTACAGCAAACACCTTATCAATCAAATTATACTCAATTAAAATACGTTCAATGAGAATATAAACATTATCAGCAGTGTGACGATCATTGAATTCACGAAAAGCAAGAACACATTTATGCATATTCCAATCATCATCAATATAATGTGCAGTTAGACCCAAATAATATAAATGATGATAAGTATCCTCCCATATATCGCTACAAATACTAACACGTCCATCAAAGTTTGCGAAAAATATTTGTAATTTTTCTTTTTCCAAGTTATATTGCCTTATAACTTCTTTTTTAATCGTTTTGCGACTATAATTTCTAAATTGAGGATTTAAAGTACCTTGAGCATAATCTCTTAAAGCAAGACTTTCGGAAAAAATAAAGGGTAAATTTTCTTCAACAATTAAATGAGACATACCAGTCAAATGTTTTTTTATCATCATAGGAAAAATTACCAAAGGGTTGAGAATTTGCAAACCTTGATATTTGTGTTTGCTTCCCCTTTCCGTTGTCTATTTTCGCATACTCCACAACGTGGGTGGACTGAAGATGCCTTTTGAGACTCCCGTATCCGCCAGAAATTCCCAAGCTAAACTCTTTCTTGCAATGATTGCAACTTGCGTACCATTTTTCGGTTTTTTCGTCTTTCCTTTTTGTATAATTGTTTTCAATAATAGCAGATTTAGATTTCTTACCAATTTTGGTTGTAGTCGTTGAAGGGACCTCGTCCTCTTGCTCATCATCCGGAGTCCCGTCGCCCCCCGCGTCCTCCTCCCCATCGTCATCCTCGAGCTCCTCTTCATCGATGGTTGTCGGGAATTGTTGTTCTTGTGCAAAACGTGGATCATTTTGGGACAATAGGTGTTGTAGTTCCTCGTCGGACATCATCATACCATCTCGCCGTTGGTAATCCGTTTCAAAATCATCTCGACTTTGAAAAGAAGACTCGGCCCGCGCTTTACCTTTGCCTTTGCGTGAAGTAGATCGAGTTGATGCAATCTCCCTCTTGCGGTTGCGTTGGAGATTACCCACATCTACAGAATGTCTACCTCGCTCCATCTTTAAAATTGAACAAATATTAGCAATTAACTAATATGAGAAATGTAATAATTAACTAGTTTTGTTATTTTAATGAGATATGTAGCAATTAACTAATATGAGAAATGTAAAAATTAACTAGTTTTTTTGACTTTAATGAGATATGTAGCAATTAACTAATATGAGAAATGTAAAATTGTAGCAATTAACTAATTAACTAATATGAGAAATGTAAAAATTAACTAGTTTTTTTTACGTTAATGAGATATGTAGCAATTAACTAATATGAGAAATGTAAAATTGTAGCAATTAACTAATTAACTAATATGAGAAATGTAAAAATGTAGCAATTAACTAATATGAGAAATGTAAAATTGTAGCAATTAACTAATTAACTAATATGAGAAATGTAAAAATGTAGCAATTAACTAATTAACTAATATGAGAAATGTACAAATGTAGCAATTAACTAATATGAGAAATGTAAAAATGTAGCAATTAACTAATTAACTAATATGAGAAATGTAACAATTAAGTAGTTTAACTAATATTAATATGACAAATGAAACAATTAACTTTAACTACTTTAACTAATATTAATATGACAAATGAAACAATTAAGTAATTAAATAGATAAACGAGAAGTGTATATATAAATCAAATGTATAACTATATATAGTATATATAAATATATAATGTGTAAATATATTATAAGTAATATATAATATAATGTATAACTATATTATAAGTAATATATAATATAATGTATAACTATATATAGTATATATAAATATATAATGTGTAAATATATTATAAGTAATATATAATATAATGTATAACAATATATAGTATATAATATAATGCGTAAAGAATTATAATATGAATGTGTATAAGTATATATTTATAAGTAGATAATTAATATTATAATATATAAGTAGATATAATAATTATATAAATTATATATATGTAGAAAGAATTTGGAGAAGATGAAGAATGAAGATGATTGAATATGAGAGATTAAGAGAATAGAGAATTTAGATTTTAGAGAGTAGAAAGAGTTGTAGAAGAAGAGGTGTAAAAAATGTATAGAAAATAGGAGTATAAATAGGTTTTTTTTTGTATACCCCACCCCCACCCCACCCCCCCTAACCCCCCAGACCCCCCCTCCTATGCTCCCAACGGCTATAGAGCCGTTTGGGAGGTCTCCCAACGGCTAGTAGAGCCTTCAAATTTTTTTAATTTTTTTTTGTGACCGTTGAGGCCCGGCCGGGCCGGTTCACCAAATCATAAGCCCGGGCCCGAACCGCTACATGACCGGGCCGGGTGGCCCGAACCGTGACCTAACCGACAAACCGGGCCGGTCCGGGCCCGCACAGTAGCGGGCCGGTCCGGTTCCGGGCCGGTTGGCCCGGCCCGAGTCCACCACTATCGAGACATAACTTTGGCCATTAATATAAATGATTTTGTATTAGTAAAAAATTAAAAAAATTAGATTATGAAAATTTACAATCAGAAAAGTTTAACAATATTTTTTTCATAAAATAATTTTATTACATTAATAAATAAAATGTAGTCAAAGTAGAAGTCAAAGTGTTGCATTTATTTAAGAACGGAGGTAGTAAATGATATTTGAAAATACAGTCACTTATTTGATATTTTGAAACTAGTTTTCGATGAATTAAATAATTGAATTTTTATTGAAAAATTGTTTTATATCACTTTTGATCTATACTTAAATAGTTGATATTATTACAAGTAATTTCCAAAATACGTATTATCCTTGATTCAGAGGAGATAGTTTGTATTATTTAAAATTATTTTGCCTAATAATAATAACATTAATAATAACCATAATATATGAGATGAGTATTTTTCGATAGTAAACACTTTATTAAAGAAAAAGCGGGCTCCGTAATTGATTTGGGTCTTCATTATTGAGTAATTATGGTTAATGGTGTATGGACACGATCCCAGTTTTGAATTAGAAGCTCTGGAAATTTTTTCCTTTGACTAAGCCCTATGTGGCACATTATGGGACAAAAGAGTATTTAGTTTCATATTCAGCCATTCAGGTAAATGAAATGCAACTAAACCGAGTAAATTTGAGTAGGGTAGTTAGTAGTATGACATTGGCTAGCCTATCCAAAAAGG